TTTTTTTTTTTTTGGTTGCAGCCATCATTGTTGTTTGGCGGGCCCGGGCTGGATTTGAACCCGCCACCTTAGGTGTATATGGCTGGTGCCTTAGCCACTTGAGCCACAGGTGCCAAGCCTCTGTCTCCTTCTTTACAGCAGTTTTGCCTGCCTTCTGCTGCCACAGGTGGCCAAAATGATTAATCAAAAATTTACAATTTCAGTTCCTTAGAACCTGCTCTAACAATTAAAAGGGCTATTTGATTCATAGGGCAGCAAGGTGTAATTACGTAGGATAATTAGTAAATGTTTAGCAATTGAATTGAGGGATTTTTTTTTTCCAACAGGATAGTCTACAGGGGTACAAAGCCCAAAACAAATTTCTAAATAAGGAGATTTTGGAACTCTCAGCTCTCCGAAGAAATGCAGAAAGGAGAGAGAGGGATCTGATGGCAAAGGTGAGTCAGGATGGTGGTATTCTATTACCTGGTGGGATGTAAGATTGGGAAACCACTTAAAAATAAACATGTTTTAAAAATGATTTAACTCCTGTGCTTGGAGATCTGTGGTTACTGATATCAAAATACATTCAAAGTATAAATAGTACATGGAGCTGTGTACTTAGTTTTACTTTGTCTATGTTGAAGACAGAGAGAAATGCCCTGAGATGTGGCTTCATTTGTGCATAAGCACTTTCAATGGTGTTTTTAGGAAAACCAATGAAGTACAATTATAAGGTCCCCTAAATTAAGGTTTATTTGGATTTTGATTTATACTGTTGAGTTTCCTGTCTGTAAAATGAAGACAGTGAGGTTAATGCCTCCTCTATAAACCCACTAGGACTTGTGTGAGAGTCAGATATGATTGTGGATAGAAAGGGATTTGCAAGCCATAAAGAGACCTCAAATATTTCGATTATATTTAAGTGAGCTACAATCATATGACTTGTCAATAGCTGTTATGTACCTTATATACTTTTTTGAACAGACCTCAAAGCATCTTCTCAGACTGCATTCCTGCATGTTTTCCAGGGTGGATTTGATTTGTGTGATAAGGTGGCAGGTGGGAGCTAATCTAGCATCACAGTGTCCTAGGTGGCCACTCAGTGTCCCTTGTTCTAAGTGGCACCAAGCTTGACGTAAGTAATTAGGATGTGGCCTGGGTTTTGCTGCTCACCTAACCTGTCTAGAGTTAGGTAGGCACAACAAGTGGCACCCAGAGGTCTGATCATCAGCACCCCTTCTCTGCCAGACCCCACGGCAAGACATTTTAAACACAGTATGTGGTGGCCTGGGGCATAAATTAATCTCTTGTCTTTGATACAGTCTGTCTCTGCCTCACTTCCTAATAGGTTTGGGCTTGTCATCTGGTGATTATTTGAGGTACCTAAGGGTTGCTTTCCTGTGTCTCTGGAGTGGAGGAGATAACCCCTACATTCTCTGCAGTATTCTAGCCTGGAAGCCAAGCTGTGCCAGATAGAGAGTAAATACTTGATACTGCTCCAAGAAATGAAGACCCCAGTGTGCTCAGAAGAACCGGGTCCTGCCCGCGAGGTCATAGCCCAGTTGCTGGAGGACGCTCTGCAGGTAGAGAGTCAAGAGCAGCCAGAGCAAGCATTTGTGAAGCCGCATCTTGTCAGGTAAATGTGCCAGTGACTGGGGGGCAGGGTGTCCTACTCCTGAAGTCCCCTTTTCAGCAGCCACAGCCACTCAGAACTGTACACAGCCCTGTGTGTTTCATTTGTTGCTTGTGATGAGTGCAGTCAGGTCAGCAGAGAGAAAGTGTTGTCTTTCACCCCAGTAATCAAGTGATAGAACTTGATTGTGAGGTCTAGTTCTCGTGCAGGTAAGGTGGCCTTACTTCCAGTCTTCCAAAGAACAGAGCCCTCTCCTGAGTCATAATTGTACCCCCAGGTGTTTTAAAAGCAAAGGGAGCCCCTAAGCAGGACCTGGGCTTCCTTTGTAGGGGATGGTGACTGGGTAACCTGAATCAGTGGTCTGGAACCCACTGAGGATCTAATATAAGCCATGGGCACACTGTCTCCAAATACATGTGAACACATATGTGCACACAAATATTGCATATACTGTGTATCTTTGGGGGAATCACTAAGCCCATGAATCTGGAAGTCCATGATGGATCTTGGATTAAGAGCCCTCATAACCTATTTTGTGAAAAGGGAGACTTGAGAAATGACTGGAACTAGGTGAAACCTGCAGATTCACTCTTCCGAGCTTCCTCTTGTTCCTGCCTCTTTACCACACTGGGAAATCTGCGGCCCAGGCCAGGATCTCTCTGGTCCTTGCCACCCATAGGCCGTGTGATCCTGGGCAAGTTACACATGAGAGAGTTTCTCCAGGGTTCAGACCATCAGTGTAATTCTGGCGTGTGGGATTATTTGTCTTTAGCTCTGCTAGATCCAGTTTCCAAGGTGCTCAAACACGTTCACACCCTCAGCAGCAGTACGTGAAAGACCTTTCTTTCTGTTCGTTTTTGTTGCTGCCATAACAAACTATCACATACTTAATGGCTTAAAACATGCAGATTTATTACCTTGTAGTTGGGTAAGGCTAGCCCAGCTCCAGTCTCCTTAGGTTAATCAAGGGCTGCATTCTTCTGACCTTCTGGGAGATAGTACTTTTCCTTGCTTCTTCAAGTTGAAGAATATAGGGGTTGTAGGACTGGGCCCCCGTTTCCTTGCTGGCTGTCAGCTATGGCCATTCCTAGCGCTTGGAGATTGCCAGCTTCCTTGGCCGTGGAGCCTTCTCTTATCTTCCAAGGTGGCAGCTGCAGGTCCAGCCCCTCTCACCCCTCAAATCTTTCCTGCCTCCTCTTTTTCCATTGTCACATTTCTCCCCCGGGTCTTTTGCCCTCCGCTTCCACTTTGAAGGGCTTATGTGGGTAACCAGGCCCACTTGGGTAACCCATGTCATCTCCTTGTCTTAGATTCTGTAGTCTTAACTCCACCTGCCATGTTCCTTTTGCCACATAACATAACATGGTCTCAGGTCCCAGGGATTGGGGCATGGACACCTATCTCACAAATACTTTCCTCCTTCCCTTTTAAAATGATGCTTTTTGAAGCATGAAGTTGTATATATGAGCATGTGCCTGATATACAAACACACACATGAACACACATTTATGTCGCCGTATTTACCCACCTTGTGTTTCAGGTATTCCTATGCATTTTCTTCTGTGCAATTCACATTTCAAGGTTTTAAATCATTTGGAGTTGACTTTTTTTCTGCATGATAATTTAATTTGATTTTTTCATATAGCTAGCCAGTTTTCCCAGCTTTATATACTGAAAAATGTATTATTTCCTCAGTGATCTGAAGTGGCTGGCCGTATTTCAAAGAGTCACAATAGGTGGTTGGTTTCTAGGTGCTCTAGTCTCTTTTGTTTGCCTTTTTTGCCAAGACCATGTCATTTAAATTCTTCCTTTTGTTTTTATCAACAGTGAATATGATATTTATGGATTTAGGACTGTGCCCGAGGAGGACGAGGAGGAGAAGCTGGTCGCCAGGGTCCGCGCGTTGGACCTCAAGACACTCCACCTCACAGAAAGCCAGGAGGTCTCCACAGGGGTCAAGTGGGAGAACTACTTTGCAAGCACAGTGAACAGAGAGATGGTGTGCTCTCCGGAGTTAAAAAACCTGATCCGAGCAGGCATTCCTCACGAGCACCGCTCCAAGGTATGGAAGTGGTGTGTGGACCTTCACACCAGGAAGTTCAGAGACAGCACTGAGCCCGGCCACTTCCAGACCCTGCTTCAGAAGGCACTGGAGAAACAGAACCCAGCCTCCAAGCAGATCGAGCTGGACCTGCTGCGGACTCTGCCCAACAACAAGCACTACTCCTGCCCGACCTCTGAAGGCATACAGAAGCTGCGCAATGTCCTGCTCGCCTTCTCCTGGCGCAACCCAGACATCGGCTACTGCCAAGGCCTGAATAGGTGGGTGCTCAGCCACAGTTAATGTTAGAGAGCTCCCTGGCACCAGCCCTGCCTGGCCGCTCCCTCTCTTCCTGGTTGGCCAAGAAAAGCTAATATTTTAAGGGAAGAAAGTAATTACAACAAGCTAGTTTTAATGCCATAGCATCCCTAATTGTAGAATAACAGGGAAATAAACATGCTTTCAGGAACTTTTAAAAACATGAAAGTTAAATTCATTTGAAATGACTTGGATTCTCTCTTTTTGTTTTCTTTGTTCTCATTGTACTCAGGTTTTGATCAGAAGTTAGATTTCTTTTTTATTGAGACATAGTCTCACTGTGTTGCCCTGGGTAGAGTGCCATGGCATCATAGCTCACAGCAACCTCAAACTTTTGGGCTCAAACGATCCTCTTGCCTCAGCCTCCCAAGTAGGTGGGACTATAGGAGACCACCACCTTTTGCACTTTGGTTTCAATGTCCCTCCCAAGCTGGGACTACAGGCACCTGGCTACCTTTTTGCAATTTGGCCGAGGCCCGCCACCCTCAGTATATGGGACCAGCACCCTACCCACTGAGCCACAGGTGCTGCCACCGGCTATTTTTTTGTTGCAGTTTGGCCAGGGTCAGGTTTGAACCCAACACCCCCAGTATATGGGGCCGGTGCCCTACTCACTGAGCCACAGACACCGCCCTTGGACTAGAATCTTTTAGCAGATCTTGCATACCTTCTTGCTGCCACAGAGAGGAGGCAGGTAGAACCTGTCACCTTTCTTAGTGACATAGGTGCATTCTCTGAGGTGTGCAGAGCAGGCCAAGGCCTCGGGACACACAGAGGTCTGCTCTCTACAAGGCTCCTCTCAACCTTGAGTGCTGTGATGGCAGCTTACCTGGCTGACACACTTTCTGCTTACTGCTGTCACTGTGTCATCCATTCACATTGCTCTCCACATAGTCAGAGTATGTAACCAAGCTTGTCAGACATATGTATCCAGTTTAAGGGCTAATTGCATCTGAAGTTACAGTATTTCAAGAGAAAAGCTTCTTTTTTTTTTTTTTTTTTTTTTTTTTTTTGAGACAGAGCCTCAAGCTGTCCCCCTGGGTAGAGTGCCGTGGCATTACAGCTCACAGCAACCTCCAACTCCTGGGCTCAAGCGAGTCTCCTGCCTCCGCCTCCCAAGTAGCTGGGACCACAGGCGCCCGCCACAACGCCCGGCTATTTTTTGGTTGCAGCCGTCATTGTTGTTTGGCGGGTCCGGGCTGGAGATTCGAACCCGCCACCTTAGGTGTACGTGGCTGGCGCCTTAGCCAGTTGAGCTATAGGCGCCGAGCCGAGAAAAGCTTCTTAAACTGGAATGTAACTTGGTCAAGACCAAGTCATCACATGGTCTCCAGGGAGTCATTGTCTCTGTGGCGAGCCCGGGGCAGCTGCTGTCTATGCCCTCAGAAGGTGTGAAGGATGTTAGCTGCTCCTAGGCAGTCACCATTAAAAAAGAAAATGCCTATAGGCTTGGTACCCGTAGCACAGCAGTTACAGCGCCAGCCACATGCACCAAGGCTGGCAGGTTAGAGCCCGGCCCGGGCCAGCTAAACAACAATGACAACTGCAACAACAACAACAAAAGATAGCCGGGTGTTGTGGCAGGTGTCTGTAGTCCCAGCTACTCGGAAGGCTGAGGCAAGAGGACTGCTTCAGCCCAAGAGTTTGAGGTTGCTGTGAGCCATGACGCCATGGCACTCTACCAAGGGTGACACTGTGAGACTCTAACTTAAAAAAAAAAATGCCTACAAATAGGATAGTTGCCTAATAAGGGAGTCTTATTTTGCTTAAATTCATAGTTCACATTGTATACTTAATCTGCAAATTCCTGGAGGCTAGAAACCTCTGAAACAAAGGGAGCTGGGTGAGGACTTGAGCGTGCCTATTTAGGGTATAGTGACACCCCATTTTTCTGGCATTGTCATGAAATAATTTCTTCCATACAAGGACACTTCCAGAAAATTGAAATTTTTTGTTTGCACCTCCACTCCCCATCACCATGTAATCCTCTGCATTTTGTTTAATTGAATTCTCTTCTCAAATTTGGAGCATGTCCATGCCATGCTTCAGAGTACCCAGAACTTCAGCAGAAGAACTTCACCATTTCTAGATGGTTCTGTTTTTCTCTCCTCTGCCTCTGGTCACCTTTATCCTCCATCCTGTTCATGCCTACTTGAGGCCTCCCCTTCCCACCTGTCCCAGGTCTTTTTTCTGTTTTTCCTGTTAATTTGAGATTTATCACTACTTTATCTAGGAGAGACAAGAAAAAAGAAAAGCAAATCCTGAGAAAGTGGCGTCAGGGCGCTCTGTGAATGATGCTCATAGGCTTTCAGTGATCTGGGATTTCAGCCAAGCAGAGGGCAGCTCTCTGCCTCTTCCTTCCTATCTTGCTTCCAAATGCCCCCTCGGAGCCATCCCTAGGGCTGCTGATAGGCAGCTTCTTGGTGGGTGGCAGCATGTGAGTAGTCGGCCCAGGCTTCTGTTACGAGCCACAGCAGGTGATACTCCTTTCCCATCCCTATGCACTGGTGCCTGGTGCCCAGCGCTGTTAAGAAGGGCCTCAGAGGGGTCCTTGTCTGCAGCCCCATCTCATTCCTTCAGCCTGGAAGTAGGATGGTATCAGGAAAGCTGCTTTTAAACTATCTTGTCTTTGTTACTAATACTCAATCTGGATCTTTTTGTGTATGTGCATAAAAGGATTAGTTGGAACTTCTTCAACAGTGAACTGAGAATTCACTGCATTAGCAAAAATCTTACAGTGAAAACACTTCTTTTAAGTGAGGTTAGCTGAGTGTTGAGAAACAGTTACATGTTCGAACAATAAGCCAAATTAAGGGAAGGGGTGTAGCTTTGCTTCTCAGATGGTAGGAAATGCCTCGCTTGCAAAGAAACACTGCTCTTTATAAGAGAACTAGAAATTATTTTATCTATGAGAGAGAAGACAGCTGAAAGCAGATGTCTCCGTGGAGGCTGCGGTGGCAGGGATTCATTCACTTTGTTCTCCATCTGCTTGTAGGTTGGTAGCAGTGGCCCTCCTGTACCTGGAACAGGAAGATGCATTCTGGTGTCTGGTTACCATAGTGGAAGTTTTCATGCCTCGAGACTATTACACAAAGACTCTTTTAGGATCCCAGGTACTTCTAAAAATTCTATGCTTCAGTCACCAATTTGTAGAATCCCAGCTGAAATGTGACCTAATTTAAAGCTTTGTCAGGGGAGGCTACTTTGTATAGGTGACTTAAGAGCTGCTCCCTGGTTGTGGCAGGGCATGTCTCAGAGACTGGACCAGACCACGCTGCTGGTGAGCAAGGCGGGGCTGGGCTCATTCAGCACACTGGAAACCAGCTGAAGTGGCTGTCCCCTGACCTGACATCATGTTCACCACTCTGCCAACTCTCCCCTGGGCACAGGCCTCCTGGGGGGCTAAGTTGTAATCCAAGGGTGCATGCAGAGCCTGGTGTATTAGCTCAGGTCCTCAAGAAACAGAAGGCAAGGCAGGACTAGACATGCCAGGGACTTCTGAGGGCAAGGGGCAGGAGCTGAGGAAGGCTGGGAGAAACTCAGCCCAGAGGAAGGAAGGAGGGATGGGGAGGAAGTGTCTTAGACAACTGTGCAGTGAGAAAGTTTTGGCCGGGTCAGTGGGGAGTCCTCAGGCCAAGGTCACCTGTTAAAGGCACTGCCTCCCACAGAAGTGGGCTGCATTAAGTTTAACCGTGCTTGCCCACTGGTGTCTAGGAGTGAGTGCAGTGATGGACCCAGACGGGCAGCAGCTCCCCTCCTCTACAGGAAGCTGACACCAGCAATCTGGGGAGGATGACATGCCTGGGAGAGCCCAGAGTATCTTTCTCCACATGGGGCAGTTCTGGCTCTGGACCCAGCCCTTGCTACTGTAGCCCAGGATACCTCTCCCTAGGCCAGACTAGGCTGCTGCTGACCCTGGCTTTGTGGTGGCCCTCTCAGTTCCCTGCTGGCCAGCCCTTCGCCTGTCCTACCCTCAGCACCTTCTGCATATGTGCCCAGCGTGCCTGCTCCAGTGCAGGCCTCTTCTCTGGTTCACACCATGCCTGTTCCGCCTGCTCAGAGCCCTCTGCCAGTCTGCTCAGCGTCACGAAGCCTGCGGAGGCACTGGCAGGAGGCTAGAGGATGGCAGGAGGGGGCATGAAGGGGCTGGCCCCCCTCTGCACATAGGCTCTGCCTCTGTCAGGGGCTCTGTCTCCCTTGTGGTGCCCACTCCTAGCTCCTGGCTGGTGTCTCGGTGCCCGCAGGCGGCCTCACCTCTTCCCTCTCTCTCCATCAGCTTCCTGCCCTGATGCTCTGTGGGCTGCCTCCCCAGCTGTCTAGCTTCTGAAGCCTTTTCGTCACCAGTGTAACCCCTTCTGTTACAAATATCTACAGTGATTTCTATTTCCCTGCTTGGGTCCTGACTGAGTTTTCCTTATTTTGCTTTTCTGCCCTGGAGGAAGCAGCCTCATTCCTGCCTCCTGTGTCCCCCTGTCCTGCTCATTGCCCGAGCTCCCCAGGCCAGAGACCAAGCCACCCTTCACTCCTCCCTCCTTTCCCTGCATTCTTATCGCTACCATTTCTATCACTGCCATCTGCCTGAAGGCTGCATCTGTCCCCCATGTGTCCCCTCACTGCTGTCAGCTGGCCATCCTGCTCCTCCCTCATAGCAGTTGCCTCCTCTCCTTCCTTCTGCCTCCGTCCCACCCAGGGTTCGGTCATAACCCTTTGCTGCTGGTGTCCTAGGTGGAGCCCAGATGGCCCCTGTCTGCCCACTGGGCAGCTGAAAGCACAGCATGCATGTGACAGGATCTTTGACAGGATGCCGGTCCTCTGGTCTGCCCATCCACTGTGTACTTCCACAGGCCCCCACCTAGAACACCATCCCCTGCCCCACTCCCAGGAAGCCTCGGCTCAGCAGCCTGAGCACACATACACCCTGTCCCCTCTTCAAGTCACCCCACTCAGACACAGGACAGGCATCCAGGACAGTGCTCATCCAGCTGGATCGTCCTTGCGTGCCTGCTTGTCCTGCGGCTGGCCACAGGACCTGTCTTGCCATTGAGTGTGCTCACTGCCCCCCACAGCCATTGCTTGAACCTGCATGAGCCACTCTGACCACAGGGAGGGAGCTGGCACTTAACAAGCCCCAGCCCCCGAGCCAGCAGCTATGAGGCAGAGGCTCCATTATCCCCATGGGCTTGGGAGAAAACTGGGGTTCAAAGACACTAATGAGCACCGTGCCTGAGGGGCCATGGCTGAGAGGCCTAGCTAGGGCTTGGACTCCGGCCTCCACAGCTCTGGGCCCAAGCTCACCCATTTCTGCCTGCCACCTCCCATGGCAGGAGGATGTGAGGGTCAGGCTTTCCCCACAGCCACCTCCTCCATGACCCTCTCAGTGTCATGGGTGTCAGTGAGTCCCAAGAGAAGCTCTTCTGACCTCCCTGTGGTCACTTCATTTGCTCAGTAACCAATACATCTCTGACATCAGTGTGTACACTAAGAAATGAGCTGTGGTGGGAGGAGGTACCTGTCACAACAGGTGGGTCAGTGGGGAAAGCCGTGTGCATGCCTGGGCTCCTGGAAGCCAATAGCTCTAAAGACTCAAATGTATGCTCTCTGGGGGTCAGTGTTTCCAAATAAGGAACACGGGGCATTGGTCTTTCTTAACTCCACTGAGGTGGAGTTAGGCACATTGGTTATGAGATTGGGCTGAGGTCTCACAGTGGGGTCAGAACCAGGCCCTTCCTCCTGTGAGCTGTGGAGCTTGGACACATCATATAACTTCTGTGCCGCCATGTGTAAGGTGAGGGTAATGCCTCTGTCTTGCAGATTGTTTGAGGTTGAGTTCAGATGGTGCATCAAAAGAGTAATGCTCAAAACATTGTAAAAAGCCAATGCAAGTGGCTAATACTGTTTTTTGTTTTTTTTTTTAAGACAGAGTCTCACTCTGTCACCTTCAGTAGAGTGCTGTGGTGTCACAGCTCACAGCAACCTCCAGCTGTTGGGCTAAGGTGATTCTTAGTTCCCTCCCGAGTAGCTGGGACTACAGGTCCCCACCACAACGCCCAGCTATTTTTTGTTGCAGTTTGGCCGGGACTGGGTTTAAACCCGCCACCCTCCGTATATGGGGCCCACACCCTACTCACTGAGCCACAGGTGCCACCCACTAATATTATTATTATAGACCAAAGGAGAAGACCTATTTTAAGTGTGTGGATTTAAGACAGTGGTCCTCAAACTTTTTAAACAGGGGGCCAGTTCACTGTCCCTCAGACCGTTGGAGGGCAGGACTACGGGCCCAGGACGAGTCAGCTGCTAAGCAGGACAGGCAGTGGTGGCAAAAACACCCAGTGGGCTGCATGTGGCCTGCAGGCCATAATTTGAGGACCCCTGATTTAAGATAAAGTTTGTATCATATTGTTACATAAACATAAATTCTAAGGAGACTTCCCCCCTTACTGTACAAGTTATAGATGCTCAGTAAAGAAAAGTCCAGCAGTATGGAAAGATAAAGGTGAAGGTCTCCTGTCATCCCACCAACTAAAGAGCCACAGTCAGCGTTTTGATGTATTTCCTCATGCTCTTCCCCCTAAACATGCAGTGTCCCAGCTGAGAGTGTCCAGCATGAGGCTTCCCCCTTGTCAGTTCATACCTTTTTTCTCATTGTATACTTTTTTTCTTTTTGAGACAGAGTCTCACTCTGTTCCCCTCAGTAGAGTGCTATGGTATCATAGCTCACAGCAACCTCAAACTCTTGGGCTCAGGTGATCCTTTTCCCTCAACCTCCCGAGTAGCTGGGACTATAGGTGCCCACCACAATGCCTGGCTAATTTTTTCTTCTTTTAGTAGAGACAGGGTCTTGCTCTTAACTCAGGCTGGTCTGGAACTCCTGAGCTCAGACAATCCGTCCTGCAATCATTACACACTTTTTTAACCATTGTTTTTGGTGGCTGTGCATGTAATCATGTGGGTGCATGTAATGTATGTAATCATTCTCCCAATTATTGGTGGACGCTGGGTAAGGCTGTTCCAAAAATGAAGACAGCTGTTTGCCATGCTGTGCAGACTACCGTCAGGCTGCCCCTGTCAGAACCAGCCCAAGCCCCTCACCCCTGGCTCGTGCAGTCTAGGTGCCTGCCTGCTTTCCTATTTGTTCCATCCTTCAAGTGCACCCTGTGTGCCAGGACTTTGTGGGACACTGAAGACACAAAGATGAACAAGGCAACCCTCCTGAGTCCTCCCCAACTCACACAGAAGCCCAGGCATTCCCTGGCAGCCACAGTCTACAACCTGATTGGGAGAAGAGACATGTACATGGACCTTCTCCCACTTCAAGGCCAGCAGAGTGAGTCCTGTTGTCATCATCGTCGTCACGTCTTATGGTCAACTATCCATCTCCCTTGCCACTTACAGCTGCTTAAAGGCAACACCTGGTTTCTATCGTGTCCGATCCCCAGCAGGCCAGGCAGGAAGTATGAGCAGCATGGTGTGAACTGCATGGGTCCACTACACTAATCTGTTCCAACTAAACAAAAAATGTTCCCACCTAATCGAAAATACAGTATTCTTGGCACGTGAACCTGGGTGTGTGGAGGGCTGACTTTGTATCCGTGGACCCTACAGGGTGCACTGTGGGACTTGAGCATTAGGATTTTGGTATACTCAAAGGGGGTTCATTCTGGAACAAGTTTCCCGCATTTAACTATGGGCGATGGTAGATGTTTTTCAAACTTTGAGTAGAGAAATTGGTTTAGGGGGTTGATACCAGCTCCTCCTCCCCATTAAATCCAGTTGACGAGACTAGAAAGCATCAGAGTATGATCTGTTGTGTGAGGTTAAGTGCCATTCTGTGAACCGTCTGCTTCTGTTTTATGCACATGTGCACAGTGGCATGCCACCTAAGCAGTGGTAGAAGACGCGTTCTCTTGTGGGTCATAGGCAGAGGCCAGAGAGGCTCTGGCCTGCAGGATGACATCTGACTCCCGCACAGGGACCTTTGTGACTGGCTTAACTGGGCTGTGTCATCTTACCACCTGGAAGCCAGGGCTCTGGCCACAGGAGCTGCCTCTTCTCCGGGCTTGGCTGGCCCATCCCTGGGTCTTAGTACAGTTACTCTGATGGTCCATGTGTGCAGCTTCCCCCACTGTCCTCCAGGGCAGCCTGAGCTTCATTCCACCCTCTGCCTAGCACCAGCCATGCCTGGTTAGGGGCAGCCACATGACTTGTCTGTTGTACCATCGGCTCCTCACAGAAGTCTGGTTTAGTCTTCACACTGCTAAGAGAAATTATTAGCTATTTTCCATATGAGGCACAGAGCTGTTTAAAATAGAGTTTGCCGAAAGCTGCTCAGCTATTAAGCAGTAGATCTAAGATTCAGATTCAGGGTTGTAGGGCTCACTGCCTATGTGGGCCACCAAACATCTGTTGGATGGACATGGAAACGGTACACTTCCTCCCTGGTTTGAGACTCATACCCACGCAGGGCTCAGTTGCATGCCATCTGTACCAGCATCTCTGGTGAGGACAGGCAGGCTGGCAGGGCCGGCTCTGTCCTGCCAGCTCCTTGTGATAGCCTGTTTCATGGGGCATTTTGAGTAGAGGAGTTGGTTTCAGGCCACTGACACCCACACTTCCACACCCTGTGTTGTACCTCCTGTGCGTGAGGTCAGCCGTTTCTGGGACACCGAGCAGCTGCATGGAATAGCCGTGCTGTGGTGCACACCACTCTCTGGTTGAGAATCTGTACTTGTCTGCTTGCCCAAGGCCACAGCAGACCCTGCACACGTCTTCCTGTTGTTCTCTCTCTAGGTAGACCAGCGGGTGTTCCGAGACCTCATGAGTGAGAAGCTGCCCCGACTGCATGCCCACTTTGAGCAGTACAAAGTCGACTACACCCTCATCACATTCAACTGGTTCCTGGTGGTGTTTGTGGATAGCGTCGTTAGTGATGTTCTCTTTAAAATATGGGACTCTTTCCTTTACGAGGGACCAAAGGTGGGTTAGCTCAGCCTGGCTGTTTTCAGACACACATGATGGCTGTATGGGTAGTACTGGCCATAGTTGAGCAGCTGCCTTACTGGGGACTTGAGGTTTCTGAGGTACTTGGGGACCTCAGAACAGTGTGGTACCGGAGCTGGGCCTGGGGTCTCAGGAGACAGCGGCCAGCTGCTCCCAGCCTTCACGGGCCCTGTGCTAGGCACTGCGAGCTCTGGTTTGCAGCCTGAGCCTCGCTGTCTGTTACATGGGTGGGAGAAGACAGAGGCCAGAGACCCAGTAAGCAGAGGATCCAGGGACAGACACAGTGGAGCCAACCTCAGAGCCTGACTGCCCATCAGCCTCCGACCTTGGCTATTGTATGTTTTTTCAAAAATCCATTTTTAAGAAAGACATTTATATATTAAATATTTAATCCTATAACTAGGGGTGGGTAGTGGAAAGGAAGTTTCCCTCCCCTGGTCTCCTAGTCCCTTTTCTCAACTTACTTTATCTCCTTCTCGAGGTGTCTCATGCACCCAGTGTCAGGGCGTGCAGCTCTAGCTCATATGTTTTCAGTTCTACTAGTGGTTCCTTATGTAGGTGACCAGAGGTCTGCACCACAGTCCCCAGTGATAGGCACTCAGGTTGTTCCTGATCTCCTGCTGCTTCCAGCTAGCTTGGGATGACTCCGTGCTGTCTTTCTGTACCTGTTTACCTGCCTCTGTGGGCTCAGCACTGGGTCCAGGGCAAGCCCATCTGTAGTTTTGATGGAATGCCAGATGTCCATTTTCCTGTAAGAAATAGGTCTTGGCCTAGCCAGGTCAAGTGTCTCCAGGGTGGGACCCTTGCAAACCACTTCCCACAGCTGGGGCTGCACCTCCCTGAAACTCCATTTTCTCCACAGGTTATTTTCCGTTTTGCCCTGGCACTTTTTAAATATAAGGAAGAGGAGATCCTGAAATTGCAAGATTCAATGTCCATATTCAAGTATCTCCGTTATTTCACTCGCACCATCCTTGATGCAAGGTGAGTGTCTGCGGATTCTCACCCTCCAGGGAGAGCGGGGAGCTGGCCTCTGCCTCCTTGAGGGCAGCCCATTCTTGCTGCCTTCAAACTCAGAGCCATCTTGTGTGTGGCATGGCAGAGGGAGTTCCCCTCCAGGAAAAAACAGGGGCTCAAAGATGAGAGGAACAGAAGTGAAGATGGCTCTGTCCTTTGTCCTACAAACATAAACCCCATAGCCACCAGCAGTACTTTTCTGTCTGATGAGCATTTATGAGTACCACATGGCAAGGCCCATCCCAGGCACTGGGGGTGAGCAGTGAGGAACAGCCCTGGCCTGAAGCCAGGAAAATTATTGGGTATCATTTAATCAGGCTGGGGAAAGGCTGAGTAAGCTTGGCTGGGACGAGGGAGCAAGAAGATAGCATGCTGGGCACAGGGCTCAGGGAGCAGGTGTGTCAGGACGGTGTGGTGTCAGCTTAGCTGGGCTGCTGCTGTGTGATTAGGCTCAGGGCTGGGCCCTTGCAGAGCCAGGTGTTACAGCTCTTGAAGACTGCTTAGGCCTGGGGACGTCATCCTGAGAATGTCAGGAAGTTGCTGCAGGTTTGGCGAGAGAAGGGAAAGTCAGATTGGGGCAGGACTGGCAGCCGTGAGACCCGTCGGTGGCTGTTAGAGAGTCCCAGTAAAACAGGTGGTGGGCTGGAGAGAGGTGGCCCCAGAATTGAAAAAAAGGAGGCACGTTGAAGAGATTGGAGGGGGAGTTTGAACTTAGAAGACTCCTCGGTTGAGTGTTCAGGAATCATTTCGCCCCACCCCCTCCCAACCCAGTCAAATGTTCATTGCCATTTCTGGGCTGCCCCTGTCCATATACCCCTTGGACCAAGTTGGGGATTGCCCTGGCCCTGGCAGTAGAGGTGAACCTTGGGAGAAGGTGCTGGCTTAAGGCCACACCAGCTTCCTGTCATTCATTGCTATTTTTAGGATCTTTTTCTTGGGTAGTTGGTTGTGAAGATAGATCCATGCTTATTAATAGCAGCACATTATTAAAACCACAGGGACCTGAGTTTTGCTAAATGAGAAGGGATACTTGAGAATATTTGCCTATGAAAGGTTGACCCTGAGTTCTGGGGTGAGCCTCAAGAGTTGTGTTAGTCTCACATTGGGTTAGGATTATTAAGAATGACAGTCAATGGCTCGGCACCCGTGGCTCAAGCGGCTAAGGCACCAGCCTCATACATCTGGGGTGGCAGGTTCAAATCCAGCCCAGGCCCATCAAACAACAGTGATGGCTGCAACCAAAAAATAGCCAGGCATTGTGGCAGGCGCTTGTAGTCCCAGCTATTTGGGAGGCGGAGGCAGGAGAATTGCTTGAGCCCAGGAGTTAGAGGTTGCTGTGAGCTGTGATGCCATGGCATTCTTCTACCCAGGGCGACAGCTTGAGGCTCTGTCTCAAAAAAGAAAAAAAAAAGAATGACAGTCAATGAACTCCCTCCAATAGCTAATGCCAGGGTGAGCACATTTTGGTTCCAATGACTAAGTCAGTTGTGCTGCTGACAGGCTTGTGCTGGATCATTGGTGCTGCCAGATGGGATGGGTGTGAGCAGGTACCAGGCCTGGCCAGTCCCTTCCTGTTACTGAGGCTAAGCTGGTGGTGTTTACAGTCTTGTGTGGTCCTGCAGTGCCACCTTGTGGGAAGCTTGTGGCATGGCTTCCTCTTTGCTTTAGAAAGCCAAGGTCGGCTCGGCGCCTATAGCTCAACCAGCTAAGGCGCCAGCCACGTACACCTAAGGTGGCGGGTTCGAATCCCCAGCCTGGACCCGCCAAACAACAATGACGGCT